TTTAAAATGGATTTGAAACTTACCAAAATTATCGATATGAATTGTACTAAAATAAATTCGCACAAAACGTTATAAAGAAGTGGTATAAAATAAATGTAAATTATAAACGCTAGATTGCAGATTAAACTTCGAAATGCGTTTAATTTGGTGTATCATGTGAAATAAAATTAAAAGGAGATATACACGCACAGAGAGAGCGAGAGAGAGAGAGCGAGAGAGAGAGAGAGAGAGAGAGGGGGGGGGAGAGGTGAGGTGCAGGTTCTGGGGGTTAGCTGTATCATGCCAGTAGCTGCATCGATCGTTCTCTACAGACAATATAGAGCTCATCTCCAACGAGTGGACAATGTAACTTTATTGCGTCAGAAAAGTACTATAAATTGCGATAATGCATGCATTATATCTCAAAAATCAGTTATTGTGTATCGGTACTATCCAATTGATGGCCAATTGATTACATGTCGCATGTAGATTTGAAACTGATCTGAACACTTATTATGCGAGTGAAACTTTTGCGTCCCTTCACATTCCTAATCAATCGTAAGTTCTGCTTTGTATTTTTTAATTAGGCACATATTAACGAACTTTTTCTCTCTCTTTTTCCTGCCGCAATCAATCTCGAATACTACCTAAGAAAAAATGATACGCTTCCTTCATGTATGACATATATGATCATGCGATGCAATCGAGATGGCCATGCGGGCGCGAGCGAAACCAAGGGTTGAAGGGGTTGTTGAGGTTTATTCAAGGTTGAGCAAACCTCACGTGTCACTTGTCAAAGGCCGAGTTAGTCGCTGGAAAATGAATCTCTTCTATATCTCACTGATTATTCTATTTTACGATACACTGAGAAAACGAGATGAAATCGAGCGATCGGGCTGACGATATAGCCGTGCCAATAATATTCCCAACGCTATCCAAGGCATGCATTCTATTCGGTTTAAAATAGCAAAATACTTTATCGTGGAAAGAAGAAAGAGAAGAAGAGTGTCTTCGTTTCATCGTTCGACTAATTAGTTCAGAGATCAATTGTGATCAATCGCTTTCGATAACAACGCATAGATGTGGGATGAAGAGTAACATCTGTTATATTTTACGTTATCTCTTTTTCAACATAGGTGCGACTGTGTTCACTTATGAAGTTTCTCCGATGAAAAATTGAGAGTGCTGAATGTTTATAAACAGAAACATGCTCGAACGATCGCCGGCAAGGGCGTACGAGCGGCCCATTACAAACGAAGGTTGCGGGTTTATCGCCACTTGAATGTCATCACGGGAGGTGAGATAATTGCATATTTTGGTAATATAGTATGTAACGAAAGCAAAAACCTTTTAATGATCTTTCAACTATCGAATTTCAGTGTTGTATAAAATTATCGCGAGCTATCTATAATATTTCTTACTTAATTTATATATCAATAATGCGAAGAAGTAACGTGAAGAAGTTGAGATATTATCAAATTATCTTATCCTCGATAAATATTATTTTTAAATAAATTAACATTTTTCGGAGCTTCCATTTTGTTACAAGAACAAATGACTAGGAATGGGCGAATCTTGGGTTTCGGTCCTTCTTGCTGGCACATTGACAACCATGATAATGGTAGTAGTGACGAAGGCCAATTCATTCTCAACACCGTCTCTATCGACGATTGTACATAATGACATCGTGGATTCCAAACAGGTTTGTCTTCATTGATACTTATTTCATCAATTATGATATAATAATAATAATTAATAATTAATAATTATGATATAATAATAAATAAAGATCATGGTGGAAAAAGACAGACAATGCTCATGATGGCAATCCAAAGCAATCAACTAGCCAATCAAATTTTGGTTCTACTGCACTTTCTTCAAGTTGTCTCATTTGTTTTTTATCACCATTCTATTACAAAATTTACTGCCAGTACTGAAAATAGTTTACGTCACATGCATTGTAGATTCTTCAATACTAGCATCATATCTTAGAAATTCTGGGAAGCTAACCTTCCCCCCCTCTTACAGCGATAAATAAATTCTAACATATTTCAAAATTAAGTTCTAATTAGATACTGAAGTGCGAAATTAGATACTCGAACTGTTTGGGGAAGAGCTTAACATTAAGTTAGTCCTCCAATAAAAAAAACTATATATTTATTGTGTAAATAAACAAAACAAATACACTAGAATTAAGTGCTAATTAAGTGCTCCAAGAATGATTAAAATATTTCGAAAATATATATTATAATATATACAGAATTATATACAAAACTTAGATGTCAGTCAAACAGTTGATTCACAAGAGAAAAAATTAGGTGCTCTAACAAACTTGATATTAAAATATATGTTCTTTTAATAATTTAAAGATATAAATTGCCGAATTAGATGCTTCTCTGTTTGACAGAAAAAAAATTCGAACCTCAAAGATAGACCGCATGATCTCCAAGCAAAGAAATATTTCTGAAATGTTTTTTAAACGATTTTTTTTCATTGCAAAAAACATTTTAAAATATTTAAAAAACGTTTAATTAATGGGGTAAATTCTTTTTTATTAGTTAAAAAGATGTTTTCTTTACAATTAAAAAACATTTTTTTTTAAAAATGTTTATTTAACGTTTGAGGAAATATTTCTTTAACGTTAAAAAGCGGTTTTTAATATTAGTTAATTAATTAGATTTCTATTGCATCCCCTTGAGATTACAAATATATACAATAACAATAATAAAGTTTTCTTATCCTAATCTTAACCTATCTTACATTAACTTATTCTATCTTAACCTACTTTAACGTCTCTCTCTCTCTCTCTCTCTCTCTCTCTCTCTCTCTCTCTCTCTCTCTCTCTCTCTCTCTCTCTCCCTCTCTCTCTCTCTCTCTCTCTTTCTCTTTCCTTATGCCTGAAACTCCGTTTGCGATGTAATATCATTCTTCCATTCTCAAAAACTACAACTCATTAATCCTCCCCGCAGAGCCTCCTTCACCTCTTCTCCCTTTTACCCTCCCGCCCTTCCCTCTTTTCCCCTCTCTCTCTCCCCCTCTTTTCCCCTCTCTCTCCTTCCCCACCCCTCACTCTGTTTCCTCTCATTCATTAACTTACTCTCTCCTCCACTTTTTTCCTTTCTTCCTCCACTTCTCTCATCCATTCCTCTCTCTAATCCCAAAATTCTACTTACAACTCCTGCCTGCTCCCTTCATATCCTACACTCCAACTCCTAAACTCTTCCCATATACGCTCCCATGATTCCATCTCATTTCCACATCATCTTACACTTCCTTTCCTCTTTTCCCAATATCTTCCTCCCTTCATCTCATTTCCTAATCTAAACCTAACTATTCTCCTACATCTTCTCTCTTTCCATCCTTTCCTTAAATATGCCGGAATCCTCTCCCCCTTTATCCATCCATATCACCTATTATATTTTGCTTTCTTTATCTTTTTCCCATCCTTCCTTTTCTGCATTTCCCTATTTCATAGGGAAACGATTTTTAATGTTAAAATTATTTAAACAAAATTACAAAAAATAATAATGTAGAATTGTTTTTTAAATTTATTTTTTTTAACAACAGTGTTTAAACCTTAGACAACTAATTTTATTAATTATTTCTAATTGTATTTTAATCTTTTTCACTTATTGGCTGGGTTTTGAACCTGGAGCTTCACTTTCAGTTATGAGTCTCATACCTTATCCGTTACACCGCTTATAACTATCGATGCACATTCTTATTGTGCATATATGGTACACTTAATACAATTTTATTATGATATTTTCTCCTCTATAATTATTTTATTATTATTCTGATGCGTTTTTTAATTTGAGTTTTAGAAAATAATAACATTTTTTACATATTTATGAACGTTAGATAAACGCTAAATAAATGTTCTTCTAAATAAATAAAATGTTTTAAACAAAAATATTTTAAATAAGAAAAAACAAACATTTAATAAACGTTATATAAACGTTTAAAAAATGTTAATTTAAAAACGACTCATAAAATGTGAAATTAATCACAAATAAACATTTAAAAAAAAACATTAAATAAATGTTTTTTCAAACAAATAATTAATGTGAAATAAACATTTACTAAACGTTAAATAAACGTGAAGTAAACGTTTTTTATCATTATATTTTAAACGAATAAATAATGTAAAATAAACATTTTATAAATGTTAAATAAACGTTTAAAAAATATTTCTTTCAACTTTTATTTCAAATGAATAATTAATATTAAATAAACATTTTTTTTTAATAAACATTAAATAACTGTTTTTTAAACCATTACTTCAAATAAAAATAAATTCAAAATAAACATTAAATAAACATTAAATAAACATTTAAACAATGTTTTTTCAATCATTTGTTTCAAATGAAAAATTATAATGTAAAATAAATATTTAATAAACGTTAAATAAAACGTGTAATTAAATTAATGAATTTTGAAAATGAATCATGAAAAATTAATCAGAAATAAATGTTTAAAAAACTTTTAAAAAACTGATAATCGATTCTTAAAAGAGAAGATAACCTTAAAAAATTAGATGCTCCAACAAATTTGATATTAAAATATTTGCTTTTTAATATTATTTAAGGATAGATTCTCCAAATTAAATGTTCGTTCGGTTTAGGAGATATTTGATCTGAAATGACGACGATTCGCTCGACAAGCTTACAAGAGTAAAATGATATTAAAAAATTAAATGCTCCTACATATTTAGTGTTAAAATATTTCTCTTTTTATCTGTTAAGATATCTAATCGACGAATTACTCATTCTGTTTGATATTTTTATATATATATATATATTTT